CCTGGGTATGCACACACGTGCCTCTGAGAAGCTTGGAATTACAGCACTTTAGACTTTTATTTCATTATTTGTCCTCTTGTAGGAAGGAGTCATTTTTTATGGAACAGCTTTTCAACCTTATATGAGCTCCCTACACTGAGTAGCATTATAAAAAGCAACCAGAGATTATTTATTTATTTATTTTTTACCATTTGTAAGGAAATTGAAAAGTATGTCATCCACTACATTTTGTTCTGTCCTCTATTTGAGGACTCGGAGGACTTTCTCCTCAAATTTTTATTTCCAGGAATTGCCTTTTTTGAACAATTCATTCTTTTTGATCTTACTGATACTAGGCGTATTGTAGCTGATTGCATTTTCTTCTTTCATTCAAAATTCTTCCCACACACATTGATTGAGCACCTGCTAGGTTCCAGGCACCAGTATAGGTCCTGGGGAACCGAGCGGGAAACAAAATAGAGATGTACCTTGCCTTCCTGGAGCCTATGTTCAGTGTCTCTTTGCTCTGATGGTTAGGAAATACATTCTGACTGACTCTTGGTTGTATGATTCTCTAACCCTCATCTTTTCTTCTTTACCTGATTTTTCTCAACTTTTATTTGTCTCTTTTGATGCCCTTGTGAATTTTGTTTTTGGCAAGCTGCCCCTAATCTTTTATTGGATGAGCAGGGTATCCGAGCAAATATTAAAAGACAAAATTACAACAGATCTAGTCTTGCAGGTCTTATTTGGCTTTTTTTTTGTGGTTCAAGAAACAGGCAGCAGTCCAGACCAAGAATGGCTCAGAATACTCTATCCCACCAAATGTGCAGGCTATACTTACAGCCAGAGAGAAGGATGTGACATTCAGAAAATGGAAGTGAGCTCCAAAGACAGCTGGATTGCTTACAGCCAGGTGTTTGTCTGTTCGAACATGATGTAAGCAGTTGACACCTGTGCTGGGCTGAAGCTGGCTGGCTGTGATCGACTGAGACTCAGCTATTTGTTACAAAGGCCAGCTCCTTGCCTAGGTTTTCAGTTTGTTCCTACACGAAGTTGGGTTGCAGGTTCTTATGTAAACACTCTTGTGGAGGCTTCCTCGGGCCAAATGTCATTTGTTTTAATGCACATAAACCATTAAATATGTGGAGTTGGAAAAATCAGAAGGAAGCCAGTGCAATGAAGTTATAGGGAATCAAGCTTTCTTTTAACATGGAAGCAGTCTAGTGCCTTGAAAGGAAATGGCTCATCTTATGAGACAGTGGCCTTTCTGATGCTGGAATTGGATGCTATTGTTTGGGGCTCCCTGATGTGGCAGGCATATATACTAGAAAATATCTCTGGTGGCTTTTAATAATTGGATCACCTGGAATTTCTATGATGCCAATTCTTGTGTACTCAACCACAGCTCCTTTCCTCCCCGCCCAGGCTCCAGCGTCTATTGGAGAAGATGAATTCTTAAGGGCAGGTGATGGCTCAGGGGAGTCCCACAAATGGGGGTGAGGGGTGGGGAGGGAGAGGGATTTCCACCAGAAAAGCAGCCCTGGGCTCAAATCCTCCACCTGGCCCATGTTTTGTGACACTCACTAAAATCTAAACTCCTGCCTTTCCTTCTAACTTGTCTTGATCCAATTCATGGTTTTCTTCAGATGAATAAAATACCCCTGTATTTATAGTAGATGCTGTAAACCAGCCAGCTGTGATATTTTTTATATCATAAACAGCTGCTCCCTGAGCCGGCACAGTGGGGAAAAAAAAAAAAAGGCCGATTTGTATTTTTACAGCCAGATATGAAACCAGGTTTCAATAATTTGGGAAGCTCGTGTCACCACCTTTGAGCCTCAGTATGCTAATTTTTAAATGAGCCCCTACAGAATGCAGATCCTACAATTAATATAACCCTGAAAGGTAGCCCTATTGTAACCACTTAGAAAACAGGACATTTCAAAGAATTAATTGATTTTAACCTCAGTATGAAATATTGGCACTTGTGATGATACCACTCTGTGAATAGATAGAAGCAGCATTTATGGCCTTTTTAACTACATTCCATTCACTGAAAAATGACAACTATGCTAAAGAAATACTTTCCTCCTTGCTGCCGGCTTCTCCCAATGAGAGCTTTTAGCAAAGGGCAAGAAAGTCCTGCCAATAAATAACAAAAATGTAGTATCCCCACCATCATTTTCCTGTCTCGCTCTCCCCAGTGGAGGAACAAGAGAGCAGAACAGATGAAATCAGCGTGCTTTGCTCAGCACCAAGGACATACAGTTATTACTCCAACTGGGTGACCAAGGGAGAGATTAGTCTAGGAGAAACACACAGACACAATCGCATTGCCTCAGACCTGTTCCTTGTTTTTCTGTTGTTCGTGCTGTCATTATTCCAGGTTCCCAGCACTAACGGCTGGCTGCCCTGATTTCTCACCAATGTTACAGAAATCAGAATTGTCTTCACCTTCCGAGGACGCTGAAAGAAAGAAATCCCTTGAGTTCAAAGCCAGTTAGAAGGAAGCATTTCTGCATTCCTTTTGTGGGACTGAACACTCCTCTCTCTAAGAGACTAGGATGCTTTAGAAAAATGCGTCTTCAGACTCCTTGAATTGAGGAAGGAAAAAGAGCCAGAGCCAGAAAGAGCTTAACTGGAATGAAAAGCATTTTCCTGGACTCTGCTCTCCTGAATTAATCAGGCCCAGCATAGGCAGCTTAAAGAGCTTGTTGGGGGAAAAATTCCTTTCTCGTATGACTCTTTCTAGCCAGGCTGCATACAGAGGAGTGCTTTCTAGCCTTTGGTCCAGGGCCATTGCAACCCAAATCAAAACAAGTGTTTGCCGTTCCTATAAGGCACTTTAATGACCTGAAAGGAAATAGCAGGATGGACGAAAAGACCCAGATTTCTCTCCATTAGTGGTTTTGAGGACTCTTGGTATAGTGAGTCTTAAAATCACAATTATCGTTCACATAGTTTCTCAGACAAAGCTCAGCTATTAGATTTGGTTTAAGAAAAGGAACATGGAGCGCTCCAGCCTTTATTATAAAAACCCCAGCTTCCCCCTCCTTGTCTAAATCCTTGAGGAAAATAACTTGCGCAAGGAGGTAAAAAAAAGTCTATTTCCTCCCGCATAAGCATGTCTTTTTAAAATTTAGCCCAAGTCTTCTCTTTCCCCCATTATTTGGGGCTTAATACTCACATTCAGGCTATTATTGTTGTAGCTAATCCATAGCCACCCTAAATATACCTTGCGTGATTCCTCTGCTTCCAGTTACAGTGATGGCATACCCAGCCTCTCCCCAAGCAAGGCAAAGGCACTGATGACAATTAGCTGAGCGTCTACAATGGCTTGGTGGCCACTGTGCTAGACGTTTTCACCAGTGTAGTTGAAGCCTGCATCCACAAGCTGTAAAGCTAGTGAAATTCTCCCCATTTTCAAGATGAAGAAGGTGAGTCTCAGGGAGATGGCCATTCCTCTGTTGTTCCTGCAGTTTGAATTCAGGAAGTTCGACCTCAGAGCCCATGTTCTTTTCTGATAAGCCACACCACCCCTCGTGCAGGACTGACAGTACAGTCTCCATTTTGCAGATGGCAATGCAAAGCCTAACGAGATTTTTCACTTTGACTTCCCCCAGGAATCCTTGCCAGGTTGGTGTTCCTGCAATTCTGCTTACTCTGAAAAGCCGCTCAAACACTCAAGTCAGAGAGTCTGGAAGAAGCAGAGTGGGGCCTGGCCTATTTAAGAGAAACTCTGAGTACATCGTGGCAGCTCTCAAAAGTCACCCGATGCTTAATGTGAAGAATAGCTCCTGGTCAGAGCCTTTCTTGGGGGTGGTAGCCTCCTCCCCACCATGACTTAATCAACTCGCTTATGTCATAGTGTCTTATTAGTAGCTTGCAGCCATTCATGTTTACTATTCCTTATACCGGCTCATCACCGAGCTTTCCTATGTTCACGATCGCCATATGGACGTTCTGACGTCCCTCTTGTGCTGTACCCAATGAGGATACCTGAATGTTGCTTCAAGAGCTGTATTTCTACACCGTTCCTGGGACCACAGCTTGGAGAATAAGAGTGTGTCCAGTGAGTCCCAAGGGAGATGACCCAGCTACACCTAAGCACTCAGAATTGGCAGAACAGGACCGAACACACAATTCCCTTGACTTGCACTAGCTCATTAGCAGGGAGCTGGATGGGAAGTAGAGCAGCCAGAACCCAAACTGGCACCCATATGGGATGCCAGCACTGCAGGTGGCGGCTTTACCTGCCACACCACGGCAATGGCCCTGAAAGTTTGCGTTTCTAATAAGCTTTGAGATGAGGCTGATGCTTTGAGAGCCATTGGTCTAGAGCAGAGTCTCAGAGTCACAAACAACCATAAGCAATGCTAGGAAATATATCTAGCCAGGCAGTCATGTTCAAATATAGTAGCTGTATGGAGGGCTCAAATGTAAGAATTGGGAGGGGGCACTCAATGTGTCTGGCAATCTATTGTGACAGAAGAAAGGGAAGATGGATTTTGGTGGCCAGCTATTTAGCCTTCACCACAGTGCCCTGTGCCCTGGCCTAACTGTCCCATGAAGTGTGTTGAAACTTGGGAGTCTTCCTAGACTCACTTGGAAGATCCCTCTCTCTGTCTCTTCCTCTCTGTAACTCTTTCAAATAAATGTATGTATTAAAAAAAAGAAATGCAAGCTTTCAGGCCCTACCTCATGCCTAGTGAGTCAGAAACTGTAGGAGTGGGACCCCCAGTCTGTTTTAACAAGCCCTATGGGGGATTGTGATACATAATAGAATCTGTATAGAAATGCTACATGGCCCTTCTGCGCCTGCGCCTAAAGCTCTTGATTTTGCCTCTTCCAGGCCCTCTTTCTGCTTCCTTTAGGCTAATCCAGACAAGGCTCTACCAAAGTTCAATTGTATGGGTGATGACAATTTTTTTTAAGATTTATTTTATTTATTTGAAAAGAAGAGCTACAGAAGGAAGGAAAGAGAGAGAAAGAGAGAGAGAGAAAGAGAGAGAAAGAAAGAGAGAGGGAGAAGGGGTGGGGAGAGAAAGAATCTTCCATCTTCTGGTTCACTCCCCAAATGGCTGTAATGGCTGGAGCTGGGCAGATTGGAAGCCAGGAGCCAGGAGCTTCATCTGGGTCTCCCACATGGGTGCGGAAGCCCGAGCACTTAGGCCATCTTCCACTGCTTTCCAGGCACATTAGCAGAGAGCTGGATTGGAAATGGAGCATCTGGGACTCAAACCCATGTCTACATGAGATGCCAGTGTTGCAGGCAGTGGTCCAACTCATTATGCCACAACATTGGTCCCAGATGATGACAATCTTTAGGACAGGTGTTTTATGCCAGTTTGACAAAGGTAAAGAATCTCAGATTTAAGTTTTGAATGCATAATAAAATATATGACTATAAAGAAGACAACTTGTACTGATCAAAAGTTTTTTTTAATAAAACCACATCTATGAAATAGCACTAGCTGTATGTTTTTAGTAATGTGTTAACTAATAAGATCTGGTGGTGGGTATGGTACCTTCTATAAATTCAAGATATCTGCAAAAGCTGTCATGCAACCTAAAAAATATCTGATTTCTATTGGTGATCAAGTTCCAGGTAGTGCCAATACTATTATGGATTTTTGTTTATAATATGAAGGATTGCTAAATTTCAATTTGAGGTCTGTGGTTGGCTGAATCATGGCCCCCAAATATATCCATGTCCTGATCCCCAAAACCTGTGACCATTACCTGACATGTAACTTTATACAACATTTTTAGCACATTGTGTTTTGATTGTGACTTGTCACATGCATTCAGTTGAAGAATTTTTCACCCGTGGCATCATGTCAGTGCTCAGAAAGTTTTGGATTTTGGATTTTCAGATTAGAGATGCTCAACTTGTAGTACTTTTGCTTCCTGTACCTGTCACGGGGAGTGGGAGGTTCCTGAAGAGGAGATAAGAGAGTCTTATATGGGCAGGAGGAAGAATCCAGAGCACTTCAGCCCATTCCACTGAGGAGTGAACAGTGCTGGTGAATGATCAGGGCTGCAAACTCAGAGAACTTATCTAACAAGATCAGTAAGCCGGGGCTGTAAACCACAGGGCAGGACCATAGAGGAGGGAAACACTGGAAGGTGGGCGAGCCTGGATCCCCATCCCAACATCAGGCATGGCTGAGCCCCTCCTTGTGTTCTGCATTCCAGCTTCCATGGCTACTTCTGAGCTCCCTGGAGTATTCAGCCTGAAAGACCCGTACTTTGCTAACAGCAATATAAAAAAGCTGGGCTTAGGGTTTACTGCGTGCTCCTGTTCTATCTTGCCGACACCAGAGGGCCCCTATTTCCCCAGCCGTGGATCTGCAGCCTTGTTCTCCAGCTCTGGGATGCAAATCGGGCCCCTCTGGTTTCGGTGACCCTCTACTCTTTCTTCCCTGCTTCTCGGACCTCAGAGTTCCCTGTGGTTTCCAACGTTTTCTTACCTTGATGTCTCTAGTGCCTCTAGGTAAAAATTTCCAACTCTAACCGAGTCTCCTCCAACCAGCCTCTTGGAAAACACACTCTCAAGCTGAGAATGCCTCAGCCTTTCCTGGAAAGGATATGGCTTCCAGCAGATACATCTTCTCATCTTGAATTCATTCTAAAATAAAGAAATGAACATTTCTAGGGAGGATTCCTTGATGATGAATTTATTTTCATATGTATATTCATCAAAATATCAATTAATCAAAGTCATCACTAAGTAATGAAAAAGTATGAGAGTACATATGTACACAGTATATATATTCCTGAAATTTTTCTGCATATATTAAGGAGGGAAATTAGCTGGGTAGTTTAAACCTTGTCATTCTATTGCTGTGACATATGAAGAATGATTTTCCTGATACAGTTTCTTATATTCATCAATAAAAGCCAGTGTCCTCATAATAAAACATAGTTGTCCATGAGGAAACTTCAGAAATGTTATAGCTGAGGAAACTTGAAAAAATAATATAATAAGAAAAAATTTCTTCTGGAAATGCTGTCTAGAGTATCAAGTAATCATAACTTCTCACATTGTTGGGGGATTTGGTTGGACCAAAGTAAATATGACATCAGCAAACAGAAAGTTCAAATAATTAGACAGATGTGAAGAAATAATGTCTAATATTAATTATACATTTTTATATGAAAATGGCTACATTAGCTCTGGGGATAGAAATATATAAATTATTATCAGAAAATGATTATAACATAATTACAGTTTTGTTTCATTTAATGCCTCAAATGCATTCCTGGAGAGTTAGCCAAAAATTTATCAATTTTTTTCTTGGGCACAACTGCATAATGCATAAGGATAGCTAAGATGCTCCTAAAGAAATCAGGTGGAGGGGTGGGTGCTGTGGTGCAGTAGGTTAATCCTCTGCCTGTGGCGCCAGCATCCCGAATGAGTAGAACTACTACTTCCGGCTGCTCCTCCTCCGATCCAGCACTCTGCTATGACCTAGGTTACCAGTGGAAGATGGCCCAAACACTTGGGCCCCTGCACCTGTGTGGGACATCTCGAAGATGCTCCTGACTCATGGCTTCAGACTGGCCCAGCTCCAGCCATTGTGGTCATCTGGGAAATGAACCAGTGGATGAAAGACCTCTCTCTCTGTCTCTCCCTCTCACTGTCTGTAACTCTGCCTCTCAAATAAATAAATAATATACTTTAAAAATAAAAAAGAAATCAGGCGGGAAGAATTTGTTCTTCTAAAAGTCATGACTTATTATGCAATGATAGTTGAAACAGTGTGCTCTTGGACAAGGGCTAAACAACAAAACAGAAGAGACCCCAGACACAGACTCTTGCACATGTGAAAACCTGATGTATGACAGTTAAAATTGCAAATTGCAAAGGAAAAAATGAACTTTTCAATACAAGGTATTGGAATAATTGTTTCTCCCAAGGATAAAGAACGAAAATGAATCCGTGTCTCACCATATACCATACAAATGAACCCCTGACTTATTATATGTAAAAATCCATTCTAGATGGATTAAAAATTTAAATATGAAAGATAAAATTTGAAAACCTTTAGAAGAAAATATTGATATGACCACTTTGGGGTCATTTAAGAATCATTTAAGAATGATTTCTTGAATGAGACACAAAGTTCAAACTTTATAAAGAAGATCGACACATTTTGTTACATTAAACATAGAAACTTCTTTAGATAAAAGGTCTCCATTATGAGAATGAAAAAAATAGAATTTGGAAAAAGATATTTGCAACACAGACAGCTCACAAATAATTTTATATATCACAAATAATTGTATATATACACACATATGTATACATATATATTTATTTTGATGTAAAATGTTTTTGAAATCCATGCACAGTGCTTCCCTAATAGGCATCTCCATGAACTTTCTGAAGACCCTCTCATATATATGATGTGTTAGCAATTTTGCATGCACACATGCCTGTGTGTATGTGCATTATCTATTGCTGTGTAGCAAATTGCCCAAAGCTTAATGGCTTAAAACAACACACAGTTGTGATCTCACAGTTTCCATGCTTCAGGAATCTGGATGTGGCTTAGCTGGGTGCTCTACTTCAGGGTCTCCTAGGTGACTGGTCAGGTTCCGCTTCCAAGCGCACACTCATGTGGTTGTTGGCAGGATTCAGTTCTTCACGGGCTGTTGAACTAAGGCCCCAGCATCTTAGTAGCTGTGGGCTGGAGGCCTCCATCTGTTCTTTGCCACATGTGCCCCTCCTTAGAGCAGCTCACAACACGGCGCAGCTGGCGTCATCAGAGCAAGAAAGGAAGAGAGCAGGAATGATTGCCAGCAAGAGAGAGCATGCTAGCAAGACACAAGCCGCACTGTTGAATGACCTAATCTTAGGCGGTATCCCATCACTTTTTCTGTATCTTATTGGTTATTAAAAACAGCCTATACTTAAGGAGAGGAATCACACAGCAGCATACATATTGTGAAGTGGGGATCAGTGGAGGCCATATTAGAAGTCTACCTACAACAATCTATACCTATCCCATAGAAAATTCCACAAAAGACAGTAGTAAATATTTCACAGCAAGAGCAATTCAAAAGACCTATAAACAATGGAAAAGCTTCTCAACTTCATTAATTATTGCTATCACAAGAAGACACCATTTATGCCCACATAAATGGCAAAACTAGAAAGTGATTATGCCAGTTGTTGATTGCTTCTATATGTTGGAGCAATATTAATCCTCATACACTTTTAAGAAGTATGCATATAATAAGTTGATATAATAAAACTTTGGAAAAGAATATGGCATTGCCTAGTGAAGTTAACATGCAGAAACCTCCAGCCTGTTAATTGTACTTCTAAGCAGACATTTTGCAAAAACTCTTGTGCACATGGCCCAAGAGTAACGTAAGACCATGTGTAGAACAGCCTTATCTGTAAGAGGCAAGCACCAAAAAGCCAAATGTCCAGCACCAGTGCAATGGATAAAGAAATTGTGATATAAGCATATAATAGAATACTATACAGCAGTTAAAGTGAATAAAATACAACTGTACACATGCACATATAAACAATACTGAGTGAAAAAGAAGTTTACATAAACATAAAATAGTATGACTTTATTTATATAAAGTTCAGAAACAAGGGAAGCCCAATAATATATGTATCGTTATCAAGGGACTTAGTAAAAAAACTAGGATAAAGTAGTTTCAGAAGTGTTGGACAGTGAGTATCCCATTTTTCATTATTATTGTTCCAGCAGTCAACACACAATGCATTATTTTGTGCATATGGTTTGTTCATGCTAAACAGTAAAAGAAAAAATAACAACAACTAGCATTTCTGGGACTTTCCTCAGTGCCAGCAACTATGTAGGTGTTCTCTTGGAAGGGATGCATGCTGTCCTTTTATTCTTAATGCTCCACCTCTCATTTTCTATTGATCATTTTTCCTTTGAGAAATATTTACCTAAAATAAAATGGGACATATTGTGTTTAAAGCAAATGGAAAATCATATGGCAATAAAAACAATGAAGAAAATGATAGTGCTCAATTCAAGGAGAATTTTGCTACTATACCGAATATAGAAATTAAAATGATTTAATCTCCCCATGGAACCTTTGAAACCAAAAGTAGCCACATGAATAATCAGACTAGAGCAGGTTTTTTCATCCTCAGTGTTATTGATGTTTGAGACCAGATCGTTCTTTGCTGTGGGCAGCTGTCCTGTGTGTTGTAGGGTGTTTAGTAGCATCCCTGGCCTCCACCTGCCAGATGCCAGTAAGATCCCTACTCCCTAGTCTGAACAAAGAAAAATGCCCCAGACATTGCCAAATGTCCCCTGGAGGCAAAAATCAACCCTGGTTGAGACCCACTGAACTTGGATGGTCTTGGCATACTCAATGGCATTACACACACAGGGGACCTATCACAGGCCTATTTTATATTTCCACAATGATTCATTTATTCTCTTGATATTTATTAAGGCACCTTCTCTGCAAAGTAAGTTAAGTGACTTTTAATCGTTCTGCCATCACTTCAGGTCTCTTGAACATTACTTACTAGTAGCAGAGATATAAGCTCAGCAAGAATCCTGCAGTTGATTGGCACATTTTTGCATTGCTTTATTTTCAAAATCCCTTAAAAATAAATAGAAGGCTAGACCTCAACAGGATTCAAGGATGCATTAGTGACCACTTGTGGGCTTCAACTGCCTTTGAAGGGGGCTACTTATACCCTTCACAACTCAGGGCTAATGCAGTGTCTTTGAAGTTTGGTTGGGTTGAGCATATGAAGCGCTTCCAGCTATGTAAATTGGATGGCTGCTTTAATTGATTAAATCATAACCTGAGCTAAGTGGATTTGCTGAAAGCAAGATTGACCTGTATTAAAAATTTAGGAAAAGGACATTTTAAAATGTTAATGCATATACTTATATGTATGCATAGATTTTTTTTCTACTCATATGAGAAAGATTTTCAATCTCTTTCTACATGGTAAGTGTAAGCTGCAGACTTCATCAAACCCTTTGGATGTTCATTTTCTTCGCTTAGTCATTTTAGAGACTCTCCTCTAGCTGTGCATGATTTGCTCTTTCTCTACCATTGCTCATATTTTTAAATTGTGCATTTACAAGGAATAAAAAGAAACTCCTAACTTGCAGTGCAATTGTGCGCGAGGAGTATATTTTGGTCCCTGCTGCTGTGTCAGAGGCTCAGAGCAGGATGCTGTTGCCATGGAGACAGAGATGTTGAACCAGCTTCATCACCTTTGCCCTGCTATTTAAAATCATATGCACAGCAAAGCTCTGGAAGACACAGGGCTTTCCCCGGTAGGTCAACCACCTCCTCCCCTTTTCTCTTTTAAAAACAACAACTTGGCAGATTAATGTCATTTTCATTTATGACTGTTATAAAGCGTAATGTAAATATCCTCTTGCACAGAATGAATGGGCAGCTCTTTGTGTCGTCTCATTCCATAGTGAAACTGAAATTCCTTGAGAGTTTGCCAAAAACCAGGTCTCCTAATGGGTTCTACCCTCTCTCCTGGCTCTCTGAGAGTACCAGGGCAGTGGGTGTAGATGTTGCAGGATGAGATGAAAAGTGATAGAAAAGAAGTTAATCATAGGCTGTTAAAATGTTGCTTGGACAAACCTCTGTGTGTGTGGGGGGGTGGGGGGCATAGAATAGGCTCTCTCACACACCTTTCTGGAGGCAATTTGGTAATACATACCAACAGCCTTGAAATTACTCCTTGAATGGTCAATACCCATTCTAGCCATTTATTCCAAGGGCACATGCATGAATATGAACAAGGATTTCACCACAACTTTATTCATGACAATCAAAAACTAGAGCCATCCAATTTTGTCAACATGACCACAAAAGGAGATTAAATTCTAGGGCGTTACACAAGGGCATACTGGGCAGCTATATTAAATAATAACATATAAACGTATTTATTAACATGAGAAGATTTTCAAGTTACAAATCACTAATAGAACTAATTGTTCTAATGAAAGATCTGGGTTCTTTGTTATTTTAATTTATTCTTTTTACTTCTCAATTTTGTAGGTTTTCAGCAACCCTTGATTACTTGTATAATGTTAAAAGTCAATTAATAAAAAATGAATCCATACTCATAATACTTTAACAGTAAAAAGTCCTAGAGGCTTTCTGTAAATTAAAGTTTATTTCTACTCCACGTCCCCAGAATTCCAAGATCAAGTCATTAATTTCTGCCCTCAGATAGATTCTTTAAAAAAATTTTGTTTGATCCATTTATTTTTGTTAAGCCCCCCAAAACACAGCCATTTAAATCCAGTTAAAAGTACTGATGCTACCATCTCTAAACTAGTGTCCAGAACAGCCTTCCCGAAAACGGGGCTCATCCTATCCATCACCTCGGACAGAACTCCTGGCTCCCCAGGTGACAACATCTATCTGAGTCTGTCTCCCTTTCTCACACACCCTATTTTGCCATTACCACTGGCAGTTTTTTTCTATATGCCAGGCAAATGAGTGTCCTTGCATTACCTGTATTTATTTCCTTTCCCAATGGAGACATTTTTGTGAGTCCAAAATACTGTGCAGAGCATTGGATGGGAACAATGGAGATACAATCTCAGTTGCTTCTTGCTCCAGTGACGCCCTCCCTTCTAAGCAGCCATTTCCTCAACACCAGAACCCAGCACACCAACCCAGTTAAACATTTGGGTCACCACAAAGCACAGGACAGCCTGAACGAGATTTCCAGGGACCCACTGTCAAGCATGGATGCCGTATTGACTGTGGAGATCCCAAAACTGCCTGGTGGGAGGAAAAGCCCTTTCTACCTCCTCCCGCAGCTCTGGTCCTGTGGAGGGGCTCATTATTTGACAGGCAGGCAAGAAAGCTGAGGTCCGCGTGCTCTCTTTGCCTTGACTTAAACCTTCACCCTCAGGTTTCCATTGACTGGCCATGTGCAGGAATCATGAGGTGGCTCTGGAGCTGGGCAGGCAAGGTCCTTCACAGACAAAATGCCTCCCCAGGCATCCATGGTCTGGAGCATTTCACGTGGCAGCCACCAATCACAGGAGCAGCATCTGCATGGGCTTTGGGTTTTGAAAAGTAATATTGGCCACAAGAAATAAGATGGAAAGGTCTAGAAGAAAGTATACAAAACAGGTGGGAAAAGATGCATCCGCACAAAGTAGGAGGCAGATCCTTCTTTTGAATTTCTCCAATATTACTTTCTACATGGTAGCAACGGGCTGAATGTTTGTAACCAAGCTTCTGGCACCTGACCCTTAGGGGGGCACATTGAAACCTTATCCAAAGCACAGCATCAAACAATAATACATCAGAATGTATCTTTGTTTCAGTTCAGTTCAACAAAGATTTAAGTAACTTCTCTCTACCTCTCTGTTCTCTCCTGTACAATGGGACTAGAAAAGGAAACCTCCCCCTTAGGATTTTATTGTCCTGAGGATTAAATGACTCAATATATGTAAAGCTCCTGTAAGTTCCTGGCGCATGCTGAATGATCAGTAGTTATTATAATCATTATAACTGAGCAGCCTCTACTACCTGGCACTCTGCTGAGAGTTTGATGTGAAATAATTGAATCATTTTTATTGTTCCATTCTCTTGTCAATGGATGTAGGTTCTTTGTAGATTTGGGCTATTAATAATAAAACTGCTCTAAATCTTTTTGTAGTAGTCCTTTGCAAGATATATGCACTGATTTTTCTTGAGTATATACCTTGGAATTGGGTGGCTAGCTCACTGTTCCACCTTCTTAGATATTGCCACATACTTTCCAAAGGACAGTTAACACTTATGTATTCAGAACCAGCTGAAGCTAGAGGGTAAGCAAGATGTGGTCCCTATCCCCAGAGAGTTAAAACTGCTGCTCTACTGAGTAATACCGTAGACATCTTGGCTTTTGCAATCCCCTTTTTATCATCTAATAGAGCAGCATGAGTGCCACGTCCTGATAGAAGAGTCGAGAAACAGAAAATGTCAGCAATGAGCTCATCATATTCATGACCACAAAGTAAGTTAGTAGCAAAACTAAAACTAGAAGGAGAAAAGCAAAACAAACAAAATTCCACTCTTCCCACCGTCCAACTGGGTCATTCAACCTCAAAGGGAAGTCATGCTCCTGTGTGCAATAGCAGGCAGTCTCCTCCCCTGCCTGCCTTCATTAGGCCAATGTGAAGTACTTTAGTACCCAGAGAACTCCTGAAACCCTTCTCTGGGCTCTAGAAAAACCTAGAATTAAGCTACCTGGGCTGATCCTTAATGTGGCTCTGGGAGGAAGCGAACAAAAGGAGCAACAGTAGGTACCTTTCCCTCTGTGTAAGGAAGCTGGGTATCTTAATAAAAACAGAAGGTCACATTTTGGAAACTGCAGTTAAATGTCCTATTTGCCCAGAGAGATGTATTCTAAATTCAAATAAGGCTGAATTGCTATGAACCATTGTGGGTGGAGGGGATATACCAGGGTTTCTCAGTCTTGGTGCTGTTGACTTTGGGGGCTGATAATTCTTGCTCATGGGGCTGTCCTAGGCACTACAGAATGTTGAGCAACATCACTGACCTCTACTCATCGATGCCAGTGGCGTCCTACTCCCAGTTATGACAAGGGAAATATCTACAGACACTGCCGAATGTCCCATGCGGGTGAAAATTGTCCCTGGTTGAACCATTGGGATATACTTAGATTAAGCATGTAGGACAATTGAACTTTATATTGTCCATCATTATCAGTCTCGAAGCTGGGAAAAAGAGGGATAGCATTTAATATCAAAGAACTTTGATAGTCTATAGACAAGTGGCAAGAACATTTAGTGTTTTACTTCCTTAAAGGAAATATACAAGAATAGTAACACAGTAATAAGCAGAAACCCCATTTCAATTATTGACAAGTCTAAGGTATGCAATTTTTCCATATGATTTTATTTGAAATGCAATAGGCTTAGTTTTTCAGTGATCTGTTTGCTGAAAAGTGATTTGCAATTGCATATTGATTGTAGACTAACAAGTCTTGTTGTGGAAGTGTTTTAAGGTCTGTAAAAACAATTTATCCTCTAACTACTTTCCTCTTATTGCTGTTATTGATACTTGTGATAGACCCTATTTTCTTTTTTTTTTCTTTTTTTTTTTTTTTTTGACAGGCAGAGTGGACAGTGAGAGAGAGAGACAGAGAGAGAAAGGTCTTCCTTTGCCGTTGGTTCACCCTCCAATGGCCGCCGCTGCAGCCGGCGCACCACGCTGATCCGATGGCAGGAGCCAGGATCCAGGTGCTTTTCCTGGTCTCCCATGGGGTGCAGGGCCCAAGCACCTGGGCCATCCTCCACTGCACTCCCTGGCCATAGCAGAGAGCTGGCCTGGAAGAGGGGCAACCGGGACAGAATCCGGCGCCCCAACCGGGACTAGAACCCCGTGTGCCGGCGCCGCAAGGTGGAGGATTAGCCTATTGAGCCACGGCGCCGGCTAGATAGACCCTATTTTCAAATAAAGGCTTTGGCAAACAGGAGCTAAAACTGCATTTGGTCCTTGAATAATTATACCTTCTCAAAGAAGGAAATTTTTTCCCTAGTAATGATAATGGTTTAGCAATGTATATCTCTCAAATTTATTTGCCCAAAGATTTATTTATTTATTTGAAAGGCAGAGTGACAGAGAGAGAGGGACAGAGATCTTCCATTCACTGGTTCCCTCTCCAAATGATCACAATAACTGGTGCTAGATCAGGCTGAAGCCAGGATCCTGGAGCACCATCAAGGTCTCCCATGTGGGTGCAAGGGCCCAAGGACTTGGGCCATCTTTGCTGCTTTCCCAGGCACATTAGCAGGGAGCTGGATTGGAAGTGGAGCAACTGGGCCTTGAGCTGTTGCTCATATGGGATGCCAGCATCACAGGTGGCAGCTCAACCCACTATATCACAGTGCCAGCCCCTCCCTCACCTATTCACTTCAAAAAATCATTATTGAGGGACTGGCACTGTGGTGTAGTGGGTAAGGCTGCCGCCTGCAATGCCAGCATTCCATATGAGTGCCAGTTCGAGACCCAGCTGCTTCACTTCTGATCCAGCTCTCTGCTATGGCCTGGGAAGGCAGTAGAAAATGGCTCAAGTCCTTGGTCCTCTGTACCCACAAAGGAGACCCAGAAGAAGCTCCTGGTTCCTGGCTTCAGGTTGGCCCAGCTCTGGCCATTGAGGCCATTTGGGGAGTGAACCAGCAGATGGAAGACTGTCTCTCTCTCTCTCCCTCTCTCTCTCTCCCCCTCCCTCCCTCCTTCTGTCTTCCTCTGTAACCCTGCCTTTTAAATCAATCAATCAATCTCTTTTAAAAAGTCATTATTGAGCCCTTACAAGTTACTCTTACCTGGGGATGTAAGGATGCTCAAGACAGGCACTGGGTGCATGTTGGTGGTTATGTGGAGAGCACTATTGAGCACCAATAGTGGTGTCTTCTTAGCTCTGGCTCTTCCAATAGCCAGCTCTGAGACCTCTGGAGGCTCACTCCATCTTTCTAGAACCATTTATTGAAAGAGGTGGATTAACTGAAATGGCAAAAATATTTCTCCTCTAGTGCCAACTCACGTCAATTGCTATTGGCTGCCCACAGCACTTGATTATGAGGCAATATCTTCACTCAATGGCAAAGAAGGCTGTAATTGATTATTGATGTCTGGCCTGGGCACAATGGAAATTGCATGGATTTCTCTGAATTGCTAAGGCTTCAGATTATGTGATTGGTAAGAAATGTACCTTTCTCTCCTCAGTATAGTTTGGTATGGGACCTTAAGGCTATTTAACTTTTCTTGCTTTGGAAACAGGCCATAATGTCCCCTTTCCCAATCTCCCATTTCCAATTTTCTTGTTTTAGTCCTAGAGAAAAATTGCAAATGAATTCCACAATACCATCCCTGCAAAGGCTAGTTTGCAACATTTTCTGACATCCTGCTCTGTCTTTGAAAAGATCAAATAAGGCAAAACTTGACCTCCCTCCACTCAGGGCCTCTTTGACTAAATGATTTTTCCCAGATAGCAAGAGATGACTGTTTTCTTAATTTTGAATAGATGAAAATAGACACCAATCAACAAACCTTGGCAAAGAGGAAAAATCCCTTTAACTCATATTTTGCTTCAATTACATTGAGGACAATGGAGCACATCACACCCTGTGCATGAATAGATGCTTTATTATTCAAAACAAGCATTCTGTCCCCTATAGAAAATATGCAATCACTGTTTAATTCAATGGTAGGATGCAAATTTAAATTCCCATAAGGGGAAGGCTGTTAATGCCATTTAAATTGGTTGTAAATTACAGATAATACGCTTGAGACCCCAGAATACAGATTAGTGGAGTATTGCTTTAGGAATTCAATTCTACTTGGAACTGAGCGTGTATTTATCTATGAAAAATAAAGCCATGAAGGCTTGTTTACAGCTACAGTTTATTGCCTATCCTTCTTATTTCTGAAGCAAATATTTCACTCTTAAATGCCATGGAGATGGCTCAGTGTAATACAGAGAAACGCCATGATGTTGCAGACAGATTAGCACTGTTAGAGACAGCACCTCGTTGAAAACAAACAAACCAAACAAAACGCGCACGAGGAAAAGACAGTACTAGGGCGCTTAATAGAGATGTCTGGCCAGCTGACTTTTCTTTTTGCCCGTTTCTGCCAGCATTCCTGCAGTTTAAAACCTCAGTCACAGACAATCACGCTTTTTCTGAGATGAGCGGCCGTGCTTCTCTCTTGCTGCTAGCGGGCAGCAGCCACTTGGAGGTGGTTTCTCATTTTCACAGATTAGCTAATCATGAGTGGGATGCCTGATGGGCGAGTCTTGGGTGAAAGCATTGTTGCTGAAGAATCAGGGGGCTTTCCGCAGGGGAAAGTGGTAGATAAAAATGGACACTTTTCAACAAAGGTTTCTGAGCTCCCAGAACTGTTCCTTCCTTGATGCGGTTTCATGTCTCAGGTAGGAAATAGGGTTACTTGGGGTGATAAAAATAAATCAGCGTCTGGGCTCATGCTTTCTCCTCTGGCAGCCTATGGGGAGTGTTTTTATTTTGTGTGTGTGAAACTGAAAGGCACTGAAAAAAAGTTGCCATTGATATATACACAGAGAAGGAAGCCAAGCGCCCGAACAATGGCGGAATGTTGGAGTCATTACGCCTGCAGAAGGCTCACTCCCATCGATACCACATGGGGTTAATCATTTCCAAAGAGCCGGAATACCAAGTTATCCATAACACTGCACCTAAATGGAAGAATGTTGTATTTTTTTCTTTGATCTGTCAGAGGTACTTCGATCTTGGCCAGGACCTTTGTGACACCGTAAGCATTTCATTACCTAGTTCCCCAGAGTTCCCCAGGCCTTGTGAGATTCCTTAAAGTGAAATGAAGTTTTAAGATGCCCCTCACACCCCAGCATCATCTTGTTTATTTGTCATCTGTTTCAAGCTTTGTAGAACAACACAGAACCTGGTCCTCCTTTTCTGGGTCTGGCCCTTGTGCATCCAGATTAAACGGGAGGGCTTCTCTCCATCTAAAAGGATGGAGGAAACAGCCGCTGAAGCCTGAGGCTGAAAAAACAGGCGGTTCCTTAATCTCAGCTCGGGTTCAGAGACTCTGACAAAGTGGTGCTGGTGGTGATTTGGTGCGGTGGGGTCTTTCTGCTTTTATCTTGATGCAAACACGAGGCGAATGAAGAGTATGAGTTTCCTTCTTAAGTGCCTTGGCTGTTTGCACATCCCCAGCCTCATCAGCTGAGGCTGAGGCTGACCTGCTGCCTGAGCTGTGCCCACCCGCGCCAGTCATGACCGGTCAGCCCTGCCATGGCTGTTTGTCTTTTCTCACTCTCTCCTGGAGGTGGGTTTGGGACCTGCGCACTCCTCCTGGGAGAAGCCACTGGGCAGTATTCCAACGTGGTGGGTGGGCATGCCAGCATGCTCTGGGCCCCCGGAACCTGGTCCCCAGTCCTAACAAGGGCCATGACACCTGGGTTCTCTACGGTTCTCAGTCAAAGCTGTGGGCCTCAGTTTCCTCAACTTGAAACTATGGAAGGCCCTTTGTTGTAACTAACACTTCCTGAGCACTTAGCACATTGCAGACATTGTCCTGGATGCCAGGCACAAACAAAAGACATTCCTAGTCTCAAAGGTTCAAGGTAAGGAGCGAAGGGGCATGCACACAAACTTGTAAACAGATAGTGACATTAAAATCTGGTAAATTTTTAAGCTGGTATAACCCGAAAACTGTTGAAGCCCAGGGGGAGAACTAGGCAGATAGAACGTCGCATCAACATAGTCATTAAGGGCACAGATTTTAAAGCCAGAATGCTTGGACAAGAGCTGGCTTCTGCAGAAGCTGTGTGACCTTGAGCAAGTTCCTTAACCTCTCTGTGCTGCAGTTTCTCATTTTTCAAATGGGGGCAATAGTAGTACCAACCCCCTTGGGTTGTCCAAGCAATTAGGAAAGTGGCTGGCATGTAATGAGCCCTACATAGATTATGCTAATATTCTAGGCTTCCCACAAGTCCATGAGACTGCAAAGGAACTGGTGAATGAAAGGGAATTCTTAATATGCAAAAAGCAGATCTAACTGTGTTTTTGAGAGAATGGAACTGAGCATGTATTTTATGCTCGTTAGGCATCGGAAAGCTCGCTCACATCCTGCCCGCCTTGGATGTCCCTAAGTCAGTGCCCAGGCTGCCAAGCGGGAGCCTCTGGCATGGGTAGGAGGGGATGGCACAGCTCGGGGTGTTCTGTATTAACACCAGGGAAAGGCGGCTCTTTGATCTGCAGGCAGCTCCCAGAGAACACACACGCAGAAGCTGAGCAGCCCCTTGCCCACCCGGCTAGGTCAGACCGTGGGAGAGAAGTCTGCAAGCAGGACTGTTTCCGGGTCTTGCTGACTCCCGCTTCAGAGAGGGAAAATGGGCAGGCGGCTGTGCAGCTTGGCAGAGCTAAAAAGGAGGGCAGAACTTGGCTTTGGCAGGAGCAAGGGCCCCTGGGCTGGCTGGATGGCAGCTGACTCAGGCCAAGTGGAGGCAGCTGTGGGCTGCTAGGGACGGCCCTGCTGGGAAGCAGGAGTCCAGCTGAGCGAAGGGGAGAGTCAGGGGAGTTGGCTGGAGCCTTTGTGAGGAATTTGAGGGGAAGGAGGAGGGGCTAGGCCCTGGAAATAGGGTCTTGAGTGAGACAGGAAAATAAGTCACATTAAGCACACACCTGGGTGCCCCATGGAGCCAAAAGGGCCCCAATCATGGGAGCAAGGGTGTGCTAGGAGATGTTTAACAAGCGGCTCTCACAGCGAGGGGTCGCCTGCACCCAGTGTGCTTACTTGCTCTGCATAGTGCTACCGCTGTGGCTCACGTCACGCTGCCGAGGCGATGTCACCGAAGCACCCTCTTACCCCTCGTTTCCCTGGTGAGCCACAAGAGTGGCAGAGCAAGCCCAAGACCGATAGATAGTCAAAGGCTTAGGCAGTGATGTGCTTTGAGTATTTATTACTTTAGAATATAATTGTAATGGCAAATTTATATAATTTAGTTTTTAATAATGATCATGGTTTGCAAAATTCTTGACAATTTAGCAATTGGCCCTTGGAAGCTGGACTGAGCCGGCACCAGAGAGCTATTTTATTTTATCTTTTAGAGAGAGAGATCTTCCATCTTCTGGTTCACTCCCCAAATGGCTGGGCCAGGCCAAAGCCAGGAGCCTCATCTAGGCTGCCCACGTGGGTAGCATGGGCTGAAGCGCTTGGGCCGTCTTCCACTGCTTTTCCGAGGCCATTAGCAGGGAGTTGGATGGGAAGCAGCGCAGCCGGCATAGGAACCAGTGCCCCAGGGGATGCTGGCGTCCTAGGCACCAACTTAGCCTGCTGCACCACAGTGCTGGCTCCTATGGGGGACCCTCACTGGATGCCTCTGAGCCTCAGTTTTCTCAGTGGTAAAATGGACTCCTCTTTATCAGAATAATTACCGTATCTGGATCACAGGGCTCTTGTGATGGTCTGAAGAGTATGTGAAGACTTTTCAACTGCTGTAGGCAGAGACGCAGGGACAGAGGTCTTCCATCTGGCCAGCGCCAGGCCAATGCTTGGAGCTCAGAGCCCAGTCCAGGTCTCTGACATGGGTGGCAGGGACCTAACTATTCGAGCCATCTCACCTGCTGCCTCCAGGGTGCACATTAGCAGGACCCGAACCCAGGTACTCAGATATGGGATGCTGGTGTTTTAACTTATCAAAATTGTCTCCAGGTAAAGAGTATCCCCAGGGGAGCAGTGTAAGCTGGTGGTCAGAGGGTTTGAATTCTGGCTTGGGCCTGGGTTTAGTCGTGTGACCTCAGGCCCCAGTTTCCTGATCTGAAGAGTTTCGTTGAGGGTTAAGTGCATTCCTATTGTGACGCTGGCTGGCGTGTGGGGAGCAGCGTTGACATATTGACTCACATTGTTTATCAACTTGAATAACAGCTCGCAATTCTTCCGGAACCAGCAGGCTTATGAACTGGGGCACCCA